GGACTTAATGGCAGATCTAGATCTGTGATGCATCTTTAAAACGAGAGTGTTTAGTATCTTTATGTCATTCAGGGTTGAAGAGCTGATGTGTGTGATTTTGCAGCTTTACTCAAATGTTTACATCAAGTTTTCAAGTCTTATCCTGTGTGTGTGTGTGTAACCCCTGGTGGACGCTGCTATAAGAACAAACATCAGGGAGTCTCAGAGGCCCGTTGAGAAGCAGCGGAGCGTCTTGCTGCAGTGCAGAGTGATGCTCAGAATACCAAGAGGTCTGCGTCCTGAACACGCCGTGTTTGTGAGGAAACTGCTGCAGCCATCTGTCACCATCACACACACACACACACACACACACACACACACACACACACACAGTGGCAAAATAAAGACATATATGTAGGAATGCATTACATTTTTCTGATTACAAATACATAAAGAAACCATCAGAGCTCGACTTCTCATGAACCTGAGACAAACACGACTCGCTCCCATCACACTGAAGAGGAGGAGACTCCCTGCAGAACAGCTGTCTCCTGACTCACAGCTTTTTCTCCAAAGACAAACAAACAAACAAACAAACAAACGAGGGGAAAGTGGCTAACTCATGTTTTTTTATGAGCAACAGAAACAGGCGTCTGACTTAAAGAAAACAAAACTAATGTGCACAGAAAGGAGGACACGGTGAGGACTCTGGAGAGAAAACTGTTTTTCTAGGTGACAAAATAAAAGTGTCTCCCTGCCGACCACTTTAAAAACTCTTAGTTTTTAATGAGTTTACAGCAGCTGCCTCAATGAGATCTACTTTACGAGGAACTAGTGGTTAGTTTGTGCACCTCGTGTACGGAGGCTGTGGTCCTTGAGGCGGGCTGACCAGGTTCAAGTTCGACCTGTGGCGCCTTACCTGCATTTCATACCCCACACTCTCTCTCTCTCTCTCTCTCTCTCTCTCTCTCTCTCTCGCTCTGTCTCTCTCTCTCTGTCTCTCTCTCTCTGTCTCTTTCTCTCTCTCTCTCTCGCTCTGTCTGTCTCTCTTTCTCTCTCTCTCTGTCTCTCTCTCTCTCTTTCTCTCGCTGTCTCTCTCTTTCACTCTCTCTCTCTCGCTCTGTCTCTCTCTCTCTCTCTCTCTCGCTCTGTCTCTCTCTCTGTCTCTTTCTCTCGCTGTCTCTCTCTTTCACTCTCTCTCTCTCTCGCTCTGTCTCTCTGTCTCTCTCTCTCTCTCGCTCTCTCTCGCTCTTGCTGTCTCTCTTTCACTCTCTCTCTCTCGCTCTGTCTCTCTCTCTCTCTCTGTCTCTCTCTCGCTCTCTCTCTCTCTTTCTCTCTCTCTCTCGCTCTCTCTCTCTCTTTCTCTCGCTGTCTCTCTTTCACTCTCTCTCTCTCTCTCTCTCTGTCTCTCTCTCTCTTTCTCTCGCTCTCTCTCTCTTTCACTCTCTCTCTCTCGCTCTCTCTCTCGCCTCTCAATCTCTCTTTCACTCTCTCTCTCTCTCTCTCTCTCTCTGGTTTCTAACTCGTACCTCTAAAATGAAGGCATAAAAAGCCCCAAAACAAACCTTTCAAAAGTATATAAACATTCTTTAAATCAAAGCAGTGGCCTTAGATGTGCTAATTTTGCAATGACAGTAGGAAACCTCCCTAAGGGGACCCCACATGACAGCACTCACTCTCAGTGCTGCGTGCTTTATTGCTGTGAAGGAAGAGAAGTGTCAGATTTTTATCCTCGGGCCCCAACAGCCTCTAAAATCACCGCTCTAACTGTCCATGCACTTTGAACACAATGACAACACAAACATTTAAAATAACAATAAACTGAGCTTACCGACATTTTGAAAACTGCACATCACTGTGGAGCGGTGCAGGAAGTACTTACAGACTTTATTTCAACATTAATACGCTGCAGATATTTATTTAAAATGCTGTTTTACAGAGTAACAGGTACAGACATGTTAGTTTATATTCTTAAGGTTAAACTTTCTTCTTCTACTTCTTTAATGTGTTACGGGGTTTTTATAAAGAAGTTGCTCAATATCTGTCACCGAACTATTTACGATACAGAGACAAAAAAGCCCGACCGATCGGCCGATATTATCACATCCAGTGACTATCTGTATCGGCTACTTTATCACAGATATTTGCCGATATTACCCGATTTATTCACCAAACAGCATTTTATTTAAATTCATTGTATTACACTAGCAGTTCTCTCTGTCAGCAGCAGAGGGCGCTGTATGGATTACAACAAACATCATCATTCTCCAGCGTGTGGAGCGATGAACATACATCTACACAGCATTAGAGGGATTAACACACTAAATGTGTATTTCTATAGCTTTATTTATCTCTATAGACAAAATATCAGATTTTTTCTCTCTCTAATATCGATATCAGACACAGAAATCTCATATCAGTCGGACTCTAATAAAAACAAACACACCAGCATTCAAAACTAAATTGAAATGAAAAACAAGTTAAAAGTAATGAATTAAATATCGACATACAGATTTAAATAAATGTCTTTGACAACATTAAAGCAGCCGGCTGGTTTAAAAACACAATCCTTTATTTACAAACTGACAGTGATAGAAAAATATTTCTCATCCTGATGTTCTGCTCTTTGAGTACACAAAGTTCATTCTTCTTCAAATCTTTATCATCTCAAACATGTTTGTTTGTTTTTCCCTCATCAGTAAAACTTTAACTCCAGGTGATCATGTTCAGACTTTAAACAAAGATTTTAAATGTTTCCCTTTAATGATTAAAAACCTGCAAGAAAACCGATCATGCAAAACTGAGTTCTCAATAGAATCTTTTTTTTGTGTTGACAAAATGTGCACCTCTTATCTGTTGGCTGTACATCACAGAGGTGTTTCTTTAACTAAATCATTTAATCCTACTGTCTTTTAACAGTCAAAGACATAAATGTGTGCTGTTGAAAATGTAAATCAAGTTTTTTTTTTCTGCAGCCTGCAGTAAACCATTTTGACACCTGCCCTGCAGTGTAGGGTTTAAAACTATTAAAAAGAACTTTACAGAAACAGTCAGTCTTCATGCTGATGGTCTCATCTGCTTTTTTAGCTCATATCGAGACTTCAAAATTAAATTACAGTCTGTTTCAGTACCAGATAAAAACTGCTCACAGGAGCTTTAAAACAGAAGACAGATGATCTCAGCTGCTGAGAAGCGATTTTTTAACACGTCTTTTTGTTCTGTCTCATGTTTCTTGTACCGTCCGAGGTCCCAACTGCTTTCTTTTCTCATGAAATAAATCTGATTGGTTGAAATACGTCTAAAAAGAGCGTCTCTGTTTGTTGTGAAGGAGTTGGTGGTTCGTCCTGAGGCCAGACCAGCTGAGGACCGCTGTTTTAAAGGATAAATACGATTGTTACGTACAGTCTGTTTATAAAATCTGTTTATGCATTTATCAAAGGAGCTGCAAATGTTAAACAGAGTAAGGCCCCGTGTCCACCTAGGATCTTTTCAGAAAGGCGCTGTCGACGTCACCGCCGCTCTTTTCCAAATGTATTATATTCCTCATGATTGCTGCCTACAGATCGCGTCTTGCACCCACATCGTCTTTGCTCCGATTCTAATCTGGTGAAAAATCTCAAATAAATATATATTTAAAAAAAGTAACGGAGCAGTTTGTCACACAGCGACCGTTTGTCAACAGACTGTTGTCATGGAGACAGGACGGACGTGCAGCGCTTTTCGTGTCAGCGCTTCATGCAAACACTCCCGAGCACACAGCCAACACACAAGAACTCCAGGTGGACACGAGGCCTAAAACAATCCTTGTGCTTTCTTTTCATAACCTGAAACTGATCAATCATTTGTCACAATCAGATAAAGAACTGAAATATCCTCGAGCACTTTTAGATTCATCTTCAACTTCATGTCAAACGGTTAACTTTGTGATTGAAATGAGATCCACCTGTGCTGAAGATGGTGCAGAAAGAGAGGAACGTCAAAATAATAACAAATATTTGAAGAAGACGTCAGAAGCTGTCAAATGTTTGGATGAAAACTTTCAGAAATTAATGAAATCGGACGAGCTGCAGTACAGCGTTAACTTCTTATGTCTCCATATCTCAGTACCTGAGCGACACTGTGGGCCTTCCTGTGGATTCAACACGTTTGATATTGAGTTTAGGGGATATCAGAGTGTTTGAGTGGGTAAGGTTTGTTTCTACTCAAAGTGACCTGCAGGAAACAAACTCACAACCCAAAGCTCTGTGAACGTTCTTCTGTTTTCCAGCCGTCTTTCTTTGAGTCATGTTCGTCTTCTTTAAACTTCCTTGTTGTGTTTTACTGGCGTCTCTGTCCCTCGAGGTATCACCACACGAGAACTTCACCTGTTTACTGTCCAGCGACTCCCCCCCCCCCTCGAGGGTCATCGCCGTAAGCGGAAGCGGGTGAGAAGCGGGAGGTGATCGGACGAGTGATGGCGATTCGGGAGGCCGTCGACTTCCTCCAGCTCTGACTGGCCAACCAATGACAGCCTGCCGAGGAGTTGGAGGCCCCACCCACCAGGAAGTGACGGAGGAGTGACGAATTCTTTCAGAGAGGAGAAAACAGGAAGTGGAGTGGATAGATGAACAGTGACAAAAGAGAGAGAGGGGGGGGAAGAAGGGGGAGGAGTTAAAAAAGTGAGACGAGAAAGAAGAACAAAAAAGATTATTTCTTTTTCTCAAAACTTTCTTGTTTACATGAATATTGGTGCTAATGCACAGAGTGTGTGTGTGTGTGTGTGTGTGTGTGTGTGTGTGTGTGTGTGTGTGTGTGTGTGTGTGTGTGTGTGTGTACCTGGAGTGAACAGAATGTAGTCCACGGTCATGGCGGTGCGGGAGTGACAGGTGGTGATCTCAGGTCTCCCATCAGGCATCAGGCGGTGCTGGTAGGACGACTGCAGCTTCAGGCCGTGTTCGATCCTCGCTCTGAAGAAACACACACACACACACACACGCACGCACACACACATACACAGACACGCACACACACACACACACACAGGGGTAAAGTGTGTGTTGGTTATTTTTGATGCTTAAAGCATAAACAGATCGTCCCTGAAGTAAAGCGGTTGGAGAGACTGGTAATAAACATTTTCTTGATAAGAGGATTTTTTTTTTTGTCAACATTTCCGCTCAGCTTGACTTAAAACACATTCTTGAAAAAGAAGCCGTGATAAGGCGACCGCAGGAACTTTTTCATAACTCTAGGAACTGTTGGAGCTCTCCCCCTTTGTTTATTAATTCCACACCGCAGGACCTGGGAACTATTTTAGCACCTAGGTTTAGAGGAACCTTTTTGGCTTCTGTTTCAGAGCGGGTACTCTCCCATCAAAAGTCCCCTTGGTGTTTAGTTCTCCATAGTGGATAGTTCCTCTACCAAATGTCCTGTTAGATGAAATAATGGAGGGGAGTAGATAGAAAAGAGAGAGAGAGAGGTTACCTGTTGTAAGCAGCAGCAGCAGCTGTGTTGGCGAGGTCTTCTACAGTCAGAGTCGAGATCGCTCCTTCTACTGCTGAAAGACAAACAGACCACTTTTAAAGACGAGGTGCAGCACAGAGCGGAACCACAACAAACTGGAGACACCTGATCAAAGTTAGAAACTAATGTCAGCAGCAATAAAAGGATTGATATAACAGATTCAGGCCAGATGTTCTCCCTTCATTTAAAATCATCAACAACAAAGTAACTTAAAGGTCAAAAAATCCACTTCAGCATGTTCCTCTAACTCTAACATGTGTCTCTAGTCCGTCTACAAACCCCCCAATGATGAGAAAAGTCCATCCTCTCCGTCTTCTGTCTGCTCCACTTTTCAGAAAATGTGTGCTCAAACAGGCCGTTTGGAGATTTTCATGACATCACAAAGGGCAGTAGCCCCTCCCCCAGGTGGGTGACACTCCCACAGCTAGGTGTTTGTTCTGCCCTCTGAGTCTGCCTTCTCATCGTAAACAATAGGACATGGAGCGAGAAAGCCTTTCCAGAGAGGGGGCGTGGTCAAACACAGCTCATTTACATATTTAAAGGTACAGACACAGAAACAGCCTGTTCTGAGCAGGGCTGAAATAGAGGGGTTTATGTGACCTTCACTAAAGTTTTGTATCATAATCAAACTAATCCTTGCAGTAAACTGAGTTCACCTGTCGGGCTGCTGGAGTCCGCAGAGGGTTTGTTGTACTGACACTGATGGTCGATCCCCAAACAGTTAGACCAGATGGGTGAGGGGAGGAGTCTCTGACCTCTGGGGTTGCTCTCCTGACCGGACACCTGTCACACAAAAAACAGGAAATGTTCACTTTCACAAACTGAAGAAACGGTCGTTACAAACATTGATTTGTAAATCTCACCATGCCGATCTGCATCCCTCTGTAGTCCAGGCAGCCGGTGGTCAGGAAGCTGTACAGCGGACTCCAGGGGGTGGAGTTAAAGTCCCCGCACAGCACCACCGGACTGGTCGACCCGTCCGAGCGGCTGGACAAGCGTCTGATCTCGGCCAGCAGGATGGCCAGCTGAGCCAGTTTGATGTCCCCGCGGCGAGGGTTGTAGAGCAGGTGAGTGTTGGCGACGCAGATGAAGGCGGAGGGATCCGGCTGAGCCGCGGTGGCGTCGTTGGGCCGCAGCAGCAGAACCAATCCCACATTGTCCCGGTCCAGGAGGGCGTCGCCGGGTCGCAAGTACTCGACGGGATTGGAGGAGAGGAGCGAGAGGCGGGAGGATTTGAAGATGACAGCGCAGCCGTCTGGTTTACTTCCTGTTCGCTTCTTGTACTCACACTGGTACCCTGTGACACAAACGCCAACAAACAGACAGAAGAAAAACTTTAAGAGATGGAGCATAAACAGACAAACACATCCATTCATGGGGAATCCCAATAATTTCATTATTATTATTATACGCCTCGAAGGTACAAAACATTTTTGAGAATTAATTCAATCACTTAAATCACAGCCTCTAAACATCTTATCCCGTTGGAAAGCCGGTTTATTTCCCTTTTAAATGGTGTAAAGAACATTAATTTGTGGGATGAGCAGCAGAGCCGAGTATGTGGGTTGCGCCCTCTCTTTGTTCTGTTGTTTTTTGTGTCGTCAAAACTGCTTTCATTTTTCATGAAATAAATCTGATTGGTTGAAATAAGTCTAAAAAGAGCGTCTCTGTTTGTTGTGAAGGAGTTGGTGGTTCGTCCTGAGGCCAGACCAGCTGAGGACCGCGGTTATAAAGATTCTTATATACAGCCTGTTTATAAAATCTGTTTAACGTTTGCAGCTACTTTGATAAAAGTAAGAAGATTTGTGTTTGGTAGATTTTTTCTTTGTTGTAAAAATGCTTTTTGGCAATAAATCTTATCCCGTTGGAAAGCCGGTTTATTTCCCTTTCAAATGGTGTAAGGAACATGCATTTGTGGGATGAGCAGCAGAGCCGAGTATGTGGGTTGCGCCCATGAAAAACTTGCCAAATCTTCTCTACCAATTCCAAACATTCTGCTGTTGCTATTGACTCTTGTTTTGAGCTTCTGATACCCCAGGTGAGCACCCTGAAGTTTGTATTTGTGAAGCCGATTTAAACGACCACAGACAGAAAATATAAACAATAACACCCAAAGGCTAACCTAGGGACACAAGTTGGTAAAGACCATAAGCTGTAAACTCTCTGTGCAGCACATCAGTGTCACGTCTTACCTAGGGCTTGTAGAGCAGGTTTGATCTGGTTCTCATAGTGGTCTTCCTGGACCTCCTGAAGACACAGAATCTGGAACAAAACATCAAATATTTGAATAACTAATTACACTGAACTGAATTAAATAACACAGTGATAATAAAGCGCCTCGTGTTCCCGTCCACTCACATCAGCGTCGTACTGCTGGATCTCAGCCAGCAGGTTGGGCAGTCGGTGTTTCCACGGCAGCACGCCAGGGTGACAGTGTCGGTACAGGTAGGCGTTATCCTGCAGCAGCTCCTGAGACAGGATGTTATAGGACATCACAGAGAAGTCAAACGCTGTGCTGCACCCTGGTGGCAAGGGGTAGGAAGTGCAGGCCGAGGGCGAGGGCTCCCAGCGTCTCTCAAGAGCTGAGGAGAGAGAGAGAGAGAGAGAGAGAGAGATGACCCACAGAAACTTCAGATTAAAATAAAAGTCAGCTGAGTGAAATGTAAATAAAGGGAGAACTTACGCTTCCTTGATGTAACGTCTTCCTGTTGGGGGACAGGCGGGCAGGATCCAGGTGGAGGAGGCTCTCTGTTTGCTCCCTCTCCCCGCCATCCGTCCTTCACCTGTCCTTCACTCGTCCTCTCACGTCCTCCCTCTTCACTCCTCTCTTTGAACCAGGGGTTTGGTTTTCTGTGCTCAGGTTTGGACTTTGGACGTTCCTGCTGTGAGTCTTTATGTCCTCCATGCTGATGTGGGCTCCTCCAATGGGGTGAGGTTTCACCTTTTTTCTGTCTGTCTTGACTTTTACTTTTAGTCCTTTCTTCTTCTCTGTCTCTGCAGTTGTCTTGACTGACCGCCCCGTTCCTCCCTCTGTCTCGCTTCCATCTCTGATGTTGTGATTCTGACGAGGGCGACCATCTGTGCTTGAATCCGGCTGATGGTGCTCCCTCTTTGAGCCTCCAGCGGCCCCTCCTCTTTCTTCAAGGCTCCTCTTCTCCTCCACGCTCTTCCTCCGTTTCTGAGGAGGCCCTCTGTCTCGGTCGTGCCGCTCCATCATGAGGCCGGCCGACGCGTGGAACGATCGCCTGCTTCCTCCAAAGTCACTTGAGTAAATACTCAGAGTGTGAAACGTCCTACCGGAGTAAACCTGATGAGCTGCAGGGTGAGAGGGGGGGAGTCCAGGAGGCCGGGGGGGAAATCTCTGCGCCGACCACCATGGGTGAGGAGCGGGGAGGAAATGAGGGAGGTATGAGGCACCACTGAAGCCGGCCCTGCAGAGAGCAGGACGGCTGTGGGGAAGGAAGGAGGAGCTCAGCTGCCGAAGGAACATGTGGTGGCTGGAGGACGGAAAAAAAAAAGAGAGATTGTAAGGTTGCTGCTTACTTTTTGGGACTCCGTAATTATCAGTGTCACTTTTTGCAATAACAAAATTATTAAAGAGGACATATGATCCCCCTCCTCAACCTTTTCAAACAGCCCCCTGTGGTCTAAATGAAACATCTGTGCTGAGCTTTGTTCAAAATATAACATGAATCAAGCACCAGAGGAGGTTTGTGACCCTGTATAAACCAGCTCTCTCAGAACGCTCCGTTTTGGTGTGTGTGTCTCTTTAAATGCAATAAGCCCTACACTCTTCTGTAGCAAGAATAAAAAATGACAGACATGCGCAAAAGTTTTGTTCTAGGCTGGAGGTGGAGTCTATGGGTGGAGATATCAGGGGAGGGGAGGGGATTTTTTTTTTTTACCAGAATCCCACTGTGACATCACAAGGAGAGCACATTTGAAACAGAGCATTTTTCTCTGTGTTGTAAGCAGTGGTGGGCGATATAACGATCTTCGATCGTGAAGGATTTTAACGTGCTGACGATCTGCCAAAGCAGGGAGATCGTAGAACCGGGCTCATGTGTTTATTCTCTCATGCTGCAGTTTATGATCCGACACAGACGCGTCTCTCCCTCCTTTTTTGCTCTGCAGCGGTGAAAACAAAAACAAAACTTAAAAGTAAAGTCCGCAAAAACAACTCCATCTCGGTTATATGTAACTGTTCTGATATGTTTCCAAACCGACACGCTGTGACTAACAGTTAACTTTTCTGCATAGTGTGCACAGTTAAGTTTACATCTCGGAGAGCGACACAAGAAACCGTTTAAGGAGCCGGAGAGACGTTAACAGTCTGCAGAGAGTCAGACAGAGAGGAGCTCAGACAGACAGTGAGGGGAGATATAACCCCGGTGTTTCAAATGTTGCTGTCGGTGTTTTCTGCTCTCTCTCAGTTTTTAAAAGTTACTTATCAAGCTTCTCCACCCTGAAGCTCACCTGTTGTGATAACTGAACCTATAGGGATTACACTAAACGACGTTACAAAGCAGCAGGCAGGTGAGAGTGAGTAACCATGGTGACTGTCTGTCTGTCAATCAACAATGTCCCGCCCTCTATGAATTCAAATCTTCTGTCAGTAAAACTTACTTTGATCATGTGTCACAGAATGAACACATTCTGTATTATGTTTGATTATATATAAACTAAACTAAAGTTAGTCCAATGATGTCATAAAAAACAACACAAAGTCTGCAGAGCCTGTATGAAGCTCCAGCTGGAGGAACTCTGCAGGGCTAAAACAGAACAGAAACACAAGAACTTGAAGTCTACATGTCTTTAAATGAACATAAAAAGAGGACACATAACTAAATCATCATTTCAAAGTGGTGAGGAAAACCTTCAAATTGTTCACAAATATTGATCAAATTGAGGGAAAGACATTTCTGTTGCTAAAGATGTTCTGGGTGAGAGACCTCCAGACCTCCTACAAAGATGTTTTTCAAATAGATTAAACTTGTCTGCACAGTTTCTGTGCATTTAAAAACATTATACAGGGAAACAAGTTTGGTTGAACTGGTCAGTAACTTACAAATTAGTCTAAAGATCAGTATGAAAAAACATCATGATCGTGATTTTGAAGAAGAGGATTCTTTATAACATGTCTCCTTTAAGTTTTAGTATCGTTACATCTCAAATCATTTGATCCTCACCAGGACTCACTGGAGATGTGACAGAAACACGTGATGTGTTCAAATCCTTCAAATGTGTGTAAGAAAACTCAGAACGATGAAACTACAGGAAAGTAAAAACAGCTAAAAGTTCATTTATTATGATTACATTAATTATTAGTTTACTTACTTCTGTCCGGCGCCGGAATAAACATCGTTTAAGTTTCGTCTTGGCTGCATATCGATAAGTTATCATAAAGAAACATTATTGCTGTTTTTTTAGTCGGTTTTTCTAAAATTCCAAAAGAATGCAAAACAAGCAGCAGGGCTCTGCGTCCCTTACGTATGACGTAATCAACAACGTCAACACCAAGCGCGGCGGAAACCTCATGATGCATTCAGGTACTCCCGGGGAAGCTTCGGTTTCCAGTTTTCAACGAGTGGATAGGCGGTCAGTCAGCCTACTGTAGGAAGTTTTACCCTATTAAGTCAAACAGATAATGATAAATGTAAGTAATGTGTATGTGTAAATGTATAATTCTTTAATTCGATAAAAAAAACAAAAAAAACATTTTAGATCAAACGAGAGTTTTGTTTAAAAAAATCCGGTAAAAGCAAACTAATTTCAACACACGTATTTATTTATTATACTTCTTCCTGTAACACAATCAAACGACGCTGTTCATATTAGTATTATAATGTATTCTACCGTTTTATAAGCCATTAGTCTATTTGATGCTTAAATTTCCGAGTGCAATTAAACATAGCATCACAGCTCGACTCGCTTCAGTCCATGTCGCTGGAACTTGTAGTCTTTTAGTTCGTTTCTTTACGTCGATTGGTAGGAGGCGAACCAATAAACGGACTACAGGTGCAGGTGCTGCGATTATATCCGTCCGACTGGAAACGCACTCTGCTCTCACGACAACATTATTACTTGAACGCATCCAGAAATATCAGGATTTCTTACGTAGCGATAAAACGTCAGGCTCATTATTTAACACGATTAAACACAAGTAGGATTTCGTGTTTTTGTTCATTTTAAGAAAACATTTCGAGAAACTGCGGCGAAGAAAAGCCGACATGAAAAGGTCATTGTACTTACGTGAAAACGAGCCTCTTGTAGAAGACAGCGGTCCCGTTTCAAAGGGTTTCAAACGGAAAGATGTCCGCTGTTAACGTTTCTCATCTTCTGTTATCTGATCGTTAAATCCCGACGTGAACCCGAAAAGACCGGAGGAAACATCCGCTGTTAAATAAAAGGATAAGGGCTGTCAGAGAGGAGTCTGCGGACGTCTCCTCAACCTGTGTGTGTGTGTGTGTGTGTGTGTGTGTGTGTGTGTGTGTGCGCACCATGCACCCAGCCTCCCCCACCTTCAGTTTTTATCTCTTAAATTGCATGAAAGCATCAAAATAAAAGATGAGTCAACTTTTTTTTTCACCTTCCTCTGATGTAAATATTAATTCATCCCCCACAAATAAAGTCTGAACTCAAAGTGAGCACAGGTTACCTCCAATCAACATCATTTATAATCCCTTTAGCCTCCTCTCGCTGGGCAGAATAACACCCTCTTCTCTGATTGGCTGACAGATCAGCCTGTGCACATTTTTGTGTGTGAGAAGAGATTTCCACCACACAGCTCATACAATCAGTTTCACTTACCTCTCTGCTCACTTGGAGTAATTCAAAATGAAGAGGAGAGATCTTTATAGAAACGATAACACTGAATCTATAGCCTCATAATTAGAGGTAAAAGGTGACAATAGAATCAACTCTTCATGCCACTACCTAAATAATGTACGTGTACTGTGAGGTGGTATGTGAGGTTGGAGAGTGGAAGTAGGTGTAGTACTCTAAACTCTTAACAAACAATAACTCAGTGATCAAATAATCTGATAAAGATCTGCACTCAAACTCTCACTGACGTTTCAGGGTTGTAAAGGTTGCAAGTAGACCAACATGGTTCCCTGCTGATAGTTTTATCTCTATAGCCGTGTTCAGACTGACCTTATTTACGTCTCTGTAATGTTTTACCTTCAGTCTGAATGTCGCTGAGGCGTAAAGATGAGATATCTTTATTGTCAAGTACAACGACATACTGATAATGTCATGGGGGGACGAAGGGATCCCCATCGATACCGTCTTCAGAGGCGTTACAGAGGCGTTACAGAGGCGTTACAGAGGCGTTACAGAGACCGAATCAGCCAGCAGGGGGAGCAGAGCGTTGTGTGTGTGTGTGTGTGTCTAAATGTGTGTGTACGTGGAGCTCCCGCTAAAGAGGGTAAATGTTGACATTATATCCCAAAAGGGTCGCTCGGGAGAAACATCGCCCATCATGAAATTGCTTATTTTTTTTTTTAAGCCTCGATACATGAGAGAATAAAGCGATTGATTTAACAAAATCTTTAAACATGTCCGCCCGTCTCAGGGTTCAGATCATTTCATTGTTAGTTGTGGACTTGAAGTAGTCATTGTAGATCAGTGGTTCTCAACTCGTCCAGCCTCAGGACCCCCTGCCAAGTCCCCCGGGAAAAATCTTGATGCAAATTTCTGTTTTTTTTTTCCAGGCACTCATTCGCGACCCGCCTCTGGGTCCCGACCCGCCTCTGGGTCCCGACCCACCAGTTGAGAACCAGCGTTGTAGAAGAAGTAACAAAGCTAGAGCGGCTCCATTTGTGGTGAAATGATGAGAGATGGAAATCTACTCGACATGTGACATAAGATGTTCAGTGTATTGATTTCCATTGATGTGTGTGTACGTGTGTGTGTGTGTGTGTGTGTGAGTGTGTGTAGTGTCTGTGAGTGTGTGTGTGTGTCTGTG